TGTGAGTGAGGGGCAGTGTGGAGTGGAGACCCAACGCCCATCTGTAGACAATTGGACATCCCCTTACAGAAGGTTAACAAGGAAGAGATGAGCCCTAATCTTTTCATGGCTATTTAAAAATTAAGTTCCTTATAATTGTGGGTTAATATGCCTTTCAGAACATTAGTGTCCTTCTACTAACTATTTTATCAAAAGCCACAAGATAAAGAACTCTCTAGATTAACATCATCCTTGTGGTTTGTAACAACCCATCCTCTCCCCTTTATGAGCAGTTGGAAGTGACCCCTCCACGCCAGCTTTGGACGTCCACATGGACTCTTCTTCTGAGTTAGCCTTGGACTGAGTTTTGCAAGTCTTGCATGTGCCAGGTGAATTAGGATACAGACTCAATTGCTACAGTCTGGATGGACCAAGGAGCAGATTGTCCAACATGAGCAGTTGTTGTTGTTGTTGTTGTTGTTGTCTGCCCTGGAGTTGACTGAGGCTCATGGTGGCCCGTGTGTGCAAAACAGAGGCGCTCCAGAGGGTTTCCAAAACTATGACCTTTTATAAGCAAAGCGCCAAGCCCATCTCACGAGGCACCTCGGGGTGGACGTGGCACCCTTTGGCAGAGCTGAGGCTTTGGGCAGGGGCTCCTAGAGGAAGTGCATTTTTTTGTGCTTCTGAGCATCTCCCTGTTCTCCCAGTGACATGTCCTGCATCATGCTAGAAAATCAGTGTGACCTCCAGTCTGATATTTAAAGAGTTCAGTTCTTTTCTGGGCACATCCCATCTGCCCCTCCTGCTTGACTCTTCACCCTCCCGCAGCCTGGCCTCTGACCCCAGGGGCCTGACATGTAGGGACGACCTCAATGGAAAAGTCCCTGGAGAGATGGGGTGGGTGAGCTGGCGTATTTAGTCCCCTTGCTCCTTTGCAGAGTGGTCCTTGCCAGTGGTGCCCCGCCACCCCCTGAAGGTCTGTCTGTAGAGCAACTCTGCAAACAGCCTTGGAGCAGTTTCAGAAACTTTTCCCTCCAATGGCTCTTTAGGTCCTGGAGGAGGTACAGGAGCCTCTCTTCCTGGCTTGGAGGAATTGCACTCTCCCTTGGGAGTACCATACA